TTTTCGTAAGTATGTTTTTAGTAGTTTCCTCCTCCTCCTCCTCCTCCTCCTCCTCCTCCTCCTCCTCCTCCTCCTCCTCCTCCTCCTCTTCTCCTTCTTCTTCTTCTCCTTCTTCTTCTTCTTCTTCTTCTTCTTCTTCTTCTTCTTCTTCTTCTTCTTCTTCTTCTTCTTCTTCTTCTTCTTCTTCTTCTTCTTCTTCTTCTTCTTCTTCTTCTTCTTCTTCTTCTTCTTCTTCTTCTTCTTCTTCTAATCTATAGTTGAAACCTATGATCCCGTGTATCTGTGCTCTACCTTCACCATTTTCAACACGGGGCATACGATTCATGAAGGAATCTTTAAGACCATGGGGGGGGGGGGGGGTTGATGCTTGTTGTCAGGCCATGCCGGTCGTTTTTCTTTCAGGACGCACAGAAGAAAGTCAAAGATAGTTGATACCCCTCCCCCCTCCCTCCTCTTTCCGAAACGAACTCTGGACTTCTTTGTCCGATAGTGAAGCGCCCATCCGCTGCACCATAAACACTGAACTTGAGCAGGAACTCTTTGAAAAAACACAACTAAGCAGACATATTTAGTTGTGATACATCATCATAGTGGTTAATCATTCACCAAACCACTAGAGAACATCTTCTTACCTTGAATTGTTTGGTGAGTTTATTCGTTTCATGCAGTCGATAGAAATAGATGACAATGGCGGCCACGGACATAGCGATGATTACTATCTCCACCCAGTTCCAGAATTTTGTGAAGTACTTTCTACCATGCCTGAAACATGATAAGGCAGTATTTGTTTTTGATGGTGTTTTACTCTTAGTGAGGTTATTATTGAAAGTCGTTAAATGTCATGATTTTGTTGTCGACATCGTTGATGTTGTTATTGTTCTTGATGTTGCTGTCCTAGCCCGCCCTCTTTATATTGCTGCTGCTGCTGTTGTGTTGCTGTTGTTGTATGTTGGTTATGGTGGTGGACTGGAATTTTTAAAAGAGGGCGTTTTGTGGGAAAACAAACCTCTCTCGAAAAGCAGCCATTTTGATGTGATGTGTAAGTATTAAGACATTCACTGAAGCAGCAACAACGCTTTCATCGACATTCATAGCAAGACGTTCTCCCTAATCTTCATCGACATCTTAGTCTAATGTCCAATGTTTAGACACACTCGTGTATGATTTTTGAAAATATTGACTGTTCATGTCCAGTCATTTTTATCGTCCTAGGGTTTGTATCTGCAGTTTTCATATATCTTTTTTTTTCTATCGCCACTTTAAAAGTCTTCTTTTTCTTTCTCATGTGCCGCTTTCTGAGAACTGTATCTGGTGTACAACAGACACCAGCTTTCGTCAGTATTCATCAGTTCTTGTCAATATTCTTCAGAGTTCCTCAATAACTACCAGTGCTTGTTAGGTCCTCATTATTTGTCAGTGTTTATCAATGTTTTTCAGTGTTTGTCAGAGTTGTCAATGCCAATGTTCCTCTTTATCTGTCAGTGTTTGCTAGTGATCTCAGTATTTGTCAGAATGCATCAGAATTCGTTAGTATCCATCGGCTTTCATTTACTTACTTGAGAAACTTGGAAACCTCTCGAAAGGAAAACGCCACAATGAAGACGACAAAAGCGATCTCGCACACAATCTGGAATACCATGGCATCGTTCATGTAGGGTAGCAACATGGCCGGCTCAAACCTATAGGAAGGGACGACGCCGTTCGTAGAGTGGAACTCAGCCAGAAATGTGTTCACGGAGAACAGATTTACCTGCAGATGGATAGAATTCATTGGGCATTGCATTTCTTTTTCGTCATCATCATCATCATCATCATCATCCTCATCCTCATCATCATCATCATCATCATCATCATCATCATCATCATCATCATCAACATCACCATCATCATCAGCACCAACAACAACAGCAACAACAACAACATTAATAACAACAACAATAACAACAACAACAATAATAATAAAAATAAAAGTAATAATAACACCAGCAACAAGAACAACAGCAGGAGCAACAGCAATAACCACAATGACTGTGCTTTTGAAAGAAAGCAAACAGCAATTCAAGACAGATACTCCAGCATGCACAACGGCGATGGCCAGTTATGAAAAATCCATCCAAGGTAATCGTTATTAATACAGATTTGGTTTGGTAACCCGGCACATCGCACATTCGTTCCCTGACACTACCCAAACTAGAAAACGTTATTTCAAGATTTTGCGACCGCCACGTATTTAAATGTAATACTGGTTGGCTTATATTCATTTTCGCAGTACTACTGTTGCAACCCTACAAACCTTCACTAATTCATCGATGCAATAATACTATCGTTTAAATACAGATTTTCTTAAACGCATACCATTGCAAGTCGACACTATTTTTGACCCAGGGTCATGGGCTCTTGCTACAGAACCAAGCAAACCCCTTAACCACTCAACCACTGCTCTCATCTTAACCACTACTTAATCGTATGGTGATCCGAATAATATGGTATATTGAATGTA